GTGCCTGTTAATAAGCAAACCTAGCATAAAACTGTGAAATTAATGAGAAAAGCTAATTTTATCACGTCAAATATTTAATTCTGGAATTACTTTGAGATTGGTGATGTCTGGACCAAAGTAACTGTAATGCAATAGGTAGGAAAGATTGCAGGCTGATTAAGAAAGATCAGGAATGAACTGTTAATTTATTTACCTTAGTAATACCATCTAAGCTAAATTGTTGCATTACTGAAAATTAACTTGCACAGCAGGAAAGCTGTTGAACCTAAGATCTAAACTTTTTTCAAATACTCAAGGCGATCTTTATTAAGTTATAATTATTTCCTAAATCTCTGAAAATGTTCTACTTTACAGAGTTTAAGCGACTGGTAAATCAACATCCCACACACTACCTAAACCAAGCTGACATTTGTCACAAAGTTTCTTGTCCATAAATTAAAAATCAAATACATTATCACAAGCTGAGTTTTTCTACAGTAGTTAGTATGGTGAGAACTCTTCTCACTTCTTTTGTGAAAGGGTTAAAATAATTTCATATGCATTACCTCTCTTGCCAAATAATGTCCACAATTACTTGCATTAACAAATTTACAGTACAGTGCGCATTTTCCCAAATGATTCAAGAGTTCATCCTAAACTGATCTAAAGAAAAGAAAAAAATCACTGGTCTCAGTAATTCTTCAAAAACAAGGAAACTGAAAGCCTGATTTAAATCTACAACAATAACCTGTCATATAAAAAGCACAACACACAATACCTAAAGACGACATCTTCCTTTTCTACCATCACTATCTTATTTAGTACAATATCTGAACAGAGGAAAAAAGGTGACAAACTGTTGCATACCTGTAGAATTTTTGTAGAACTGTCTCTATTTACACTGCTAAGAATAGCTTCATTGTGTGGCCTGCCTTCACCTTCGAAGAATGCTATGTCTTGCAGTAATTTCATTTTTCAGATATTAATAATGCAGCAAAAGTAATATGAAAAGAGGTGGCTTCTTACTGGTCATAAGTAAAACAAAAATAGATAGCACAGATTAAGAATTGACACAAAATTTTTATGTGCACCAAGTCTCCTTGTTGCATGCCACCACACAATTTAAAAGCATATTTCTCAAAACTTTCAGCTGCATGATACTCTTGTATATTTGCACTGCATATTTCGTTCACTGGTTGAACAATAAAGGAATGTAAGAACTAGGATATTGGAGACCTCAATCAAGATTCTGTTAGATAACATCACAAGATGAAGTACTTTGTATTTAAACAAGCATTTAGAAAACAAAACAAAACAAAACCAACAACAAAAAAACCCTCAACAAACAAACGTACTGTGTAATATCTTGCCCACAGAGAACTCTTTGTCCTTGTAGCTATTCCAGAAACAGATTTATGGTGGATTTGCTCTCAGAAATACACTGTACCTAGCAACTACAGAGCAAGAGCACCACTCAGTGGAACTATCAGATAAAACAACAGTGGTGGTGGTAAAGTCAAAGTTATATCTTCATAACACAGCAGTAAAAAGAGTTCCAGGTAATTCTATCAAGACACACACACAAAAAAAAAAATCTTCTTCAGAAAAATTTTAGGTGAAAATAATGCTATCTTAGTTCATATTACAGAGACTATATTTTAAAATTTTATCCTTAATACTGCTTATTTGCTGGCTCACTTTCCCACATACAAAGTTTTCATTACTATCGCATTTCTTTTCCAAAAACACAAATTATCATTCCAAAAAGGAAGACACATGGCCATAAACAAAACCTCTTTAAAATTTGAAACCTGGCATTTTTTTATTTAATTCACAAATATTTATGTAAAGTTACATCATGTGGAAAACAACTGCACAACCAGGTGCTGACACACGTTATTTCTTATACATAATGACAAGAAGTTCCTTTCTTTGCTTATCAAAAGATAGAAAAGATGCATACAAGCTGCTGACATCTAAATTACTTCAAGACACACTATGCTAGTTGCGGAACTTCATGTACTGGAAAGCCACAAATTTTGTAATGATACATTTTATACTCCTCTGTATACACTGCAAAGCTTGCCACCATGCATTCAGATTGTGGATAGAGTGACTTGCTCTAATAGCTGCCTCTTCTGTTAATATATACTTGGATCTCTGATGAAAGAGGGAGAGGTGGATGAAGTCACCGTGGATAAAGGTGGATAAAGGACCCATGCTCAGGCTGTATTTGTCACTAGCTTGTCTCAAACTGGTCATCTGGATACCGAGTTTTTCCAGATCACTTTATTACAAAAGCACCAATTTAATTTCATCAGGTACACATTGGAATCATGAGCATCTCCAGAATAACCACCATTTTTCTCTCTATGGGTAAAAACATGGAAGCCTGTTTGTATCAGATCTCAAAGTGTTACTTAGTGTCACCAGGTCACATTCACAAATTAAACGCACACAGCTGCTGAGTGCAGCTGCCCAGAGGGATGTGGAAACATTTCCTTTATGGTAAGAGGTCATGGCTGATGCTATCAACAATTCTAGGACAGGTTGGCAGGAGCCTCTCTTGCTACTGAAGAAATTAAGAACCAAATGTTGTGTCTAAATCGCCTTTTTAATTAACTAAATATTTAGTTCGTTTTCACTGCTTCACCTATATTTCTGCTATTTCACTCTTGCTCTGATACCAAATCTTCCTTTGAAATTCAGCTTCATGTTGCTATTTGGAAATCCTAGAGCAGGCAATCAAAAAGCTACATGACAAAAGCAGAATAGCAATCAAAACATCATCGATAGGATGAACTACAGATAATTTTTCCCTAAATTTAGCCTGCTAAGGTTGAAATAGCTAAGAGTAAGCAACAATATATACTGACAGCCTAAAATTGACTCTATACCTCTTACAACAGCAGTGACTAAGTACACAAAGCAAAGAACACTCAATGCACCAGGTAAAAGAAACAATTTGTTTGTGATGCTACTCACAGAACGAGCAATAGATCAATTGACAATGAGTTATCCACTATTTCAGCAATTTAATGTGAGGGAAATAGGAAAGGAACAGTAAATAAGTAAAAAATACAAGAAAAGGAAGCAGTAGAGATGAGATTCTTTTTTGAATAAAGCCAGGTAATACTGAAGTTAGGAGATTTTTTCCTAAGAACTAAGAATATATTTCCTTACAAAGTTGAATGCATTTTATCCCAAAATTAAGAAGTAATGCAAATACAGGTTTCTAAACCTAAATATAAAATTAAACCTCTACTCTTCAAAATTGTTTCCTAATTTCAGAAGGAGAGTTTAACACATTTTGTAAGACTTGTCAGCTGGACATCAGCAGCGTGTCTTTAAAATGCCAGCAGAGGATGCAAGAAATCCCTACGTCCATATATACCATGTATAAATGACTTTCAATTTCTCATTTTCCAATAAAAGCTTAAAATACAAACATATGAACGTTTTGATTTTCACTATATACCAGTAGAAACAGGAAAGCTTTTTAAAATGAGTGATTAGAGAGCCTTGCGGTAAGGCCTGTGGCAAGCCCAGTCGAAGCGTTTCCAAGGGTACTGGGTGCTAATTTTTTTTCATAGCAGCCTGTATAGCACCGTGGTTTAGATCTATGCCTAAAAGTGTTGATACCACACCACTATCAGCAGGGTTTGCACAGTGTCAAGGCCTTCTCTGTCACTCTGCCCCCTCCAGCAAATCAGCTGAAGATGTGCAAGGTGCTGGGGGACACAGCCTGGACATCACTTTGGGGTTTTTTTTTGTTTTGCTGGGGAGAGCAATGACAAAAGCACAAGCCTTGAGCTTTATCTATCTGGGACCTGCATTAGTGTAGTCCCTTCAGGGGTGTATCTGTTCCAGCACAGCCTTACCCACGGGATAGAGTTCCTGTCACAAAATACACAACTGCTCTGGTGTGGGGTCCTCCATGGGCCACAGTGTGGCCTCATATGTTGACCACTGTCTTCAGAGCAGACGGAGGTCAGTCACAAAGAACTTCACTTTGGATTGCAGTAAAGTTTCTGTGCATCTTGGCTAAACATGTCAATCCAAAAACATACACTTGTAATAAACATTAAAGAGGTGTAAAGCAATCAGAGAAAAAGTTAACCAGGCAGGGTTTATTTGAATCTTTACTACACACGTTATTTTGTAGCATAAAACGCTGGGCAAATTAGAGACTGTGAAGAGAGATTTTCTAAGAATACAGCTATTACTATCATATCTGGTTAAACATTTGAGAAGATTCTCAAAAACTAAAATTCCAGCAAACTGTAAATCCCAGAATGTTTCTGCTTTAATCTAGTCATGCATCAATGAACATGTGTGAACTACATGATCCCCATAAAACTTTATTTAAAAATGTATTTTCCTACAATTCTAATTTATAAGTTGGGTCCTGAAGCTCACTAATATAGTCAGGTTAGTGCAACATGTCATTTAAACAAACAAGCCAACAACTAAAGTTTGTGAAGTTTAGTCTTTTACCAGGGGCAACTCAAATGTTCTCTCCCCACAATCCCCTCTCTCTGAGGATTACTGCACACTCACAGTGAATCTCTGATGCCAGTTTGTTACAGTATAGGGCCTGCTGCTGACACACATAATATCCATGCTTATGGACAAGAGAGTAACACTCAAAGTTCACAGGGGGATGGATCTGACTGTCCCCAGTTAGAAAGTTGTCCCTGCTTCTACCTGACAGACAGCAAACCCATAATTAAAATATCTGCAGATGCTGGTCCTGCTCGTATCACAGCAGGATTCATGACCTTGTTTTTCCAGGGTTCTGCTTTTCTAAACTGGAAATATATCCATATCTGGCATAACAGAAAACACCAAATAAACAACGAGGAGTGCATCTAACAATAAAAAAAAGCAACTACACAATACCTTCATACACTCTTCTAATTACACTACCTTTCTAGGACACAGATTGGTTCCCTGGGAAACATCAACATGTTCAGCGTTTAAACATTACAGAATCTGCTTTGGTCACCATAATGCATTACCTGGTAAATTAGTCTTCATAATATCAATGCCAACTTGAAGCTCAGGCTCAGCTGCAAGAACTGCATAATCTCCTTGATGAGAGACATTGAAGTTGTAATTTGAACAGATACTGAATATATTATTTGCCAAGAAAGGTTTTCCTTTTGATGTCCTTTGCAAGTGTATTTCATTCCAAGGTATGCACAACTTTTCTGCAATTAATTTCCGCATCAGGAGGCGACCAACCTATGAAATAAAATGGAAGTGATTCATATAGAACTATTATGCTATGTGCAAAATATCTGTGGCTGCTAGAAAACCACCTTTCAAAAAAAAATGTAGCTTTATCATTGCAGATATAAAGTAACAGTATATTTTAGTTAAATCATTTATATTTCTCCCTTTTATGGAAATCTGTGTCAAGTAAATTTAAATGGGAGTTCACCAGATGTGAGTATAGATATGTTATCACTATTAGCACAGAGACAACCTGAGAGAGACTCAATAAAAGCTGTCCCAGCCTAAAAGAATCACATAAAATAATTATTTCTCTACCTTATTTACTTACTTAGGATACTTTATTGCACAGATGGATATTTTTTATACCACAATGAACAGTAAAGTGTCTCAACAGCTTTCCTTTCAGTACATTCATTCATTTACTTGGGCACTAAATGAAATACTTTAGAGCTAAAAATGATGAGTAACCTCTTATAAACTAATTAGCAGGAGTCTGTTATTACTACCTCACTGTTATGTGAGATTTAAAACCTGAATTATGTAAAAGTTTTATTCTCTTACACATTACGCTACTGTCTTCATGTACAGTCTCCCAGAGTACACTGATTTTGTCTAACTTGAAATCATGACATGAAATTTATGAAGTCTTTCATAATAGGTACTAAAAGCAGGCTGCAAACAACCGTTTTTTCCTCCTAAGGGAAGGTGTAAGTAGAGATGGCTTCGTAGTGCGTTTGCTTCCCTGAAATGCCCTTGTAAACAGATTCTCCTACAAGAAGTCGGAAACGCGGGCAATACTGAACCTGCTGAGAGACACTCGCGTCCCCACGGGACAAGGCCCGCGAGTGGCGGCCAGCGGGGGCCCCTCAGCGGAGCGGCGTCCGCCCACGCCGCGAGTGACCCCCCGCAGCCGCCACCGCCCGCCCGCAGCAGCGGGGACGAAGGAGACGGAAGGCTCCGGACAACGCGGGTCTCCGAGTCCCGCCCGTGGACTTAAGGCCGCCAGCCCTGAGGGAGGGGAAGTCGTCCCCAGCCGTGCCCTCCCCACCCTCCCGTACCAAGGCGGCTTTGGCATCGCGGGCAAAGACAAACTGGCCGATGCGGTCCTTCTCCTCGGGCTGCACCAGCCGCGCCGCCAGCAGCCACTCCCGGCGGCCGGGGCGCCAGGCCGCGCAGGGGAAGGCCCAGCGCGCGCTCCCCATCGCGCCGCGTTCCCCAGCGTCGCCCGACGGCGGCGCGGCCGCAGCCCCGCCTCAGCGCCACAGCCTGCGCGTGCGCCCATCGGTGGGCGGGAAGGAGGGAGCGACCCGCTGTCGAGGCACGATGGCCAATCCGATGTCAGAATGCCCCGTGATTGACAGGGGAATGCGCCAGGAAACGACTTATCAGGGGAAAGGCGGCGCTTGCGGCGGAGCTACACCCGTGGTGTCGTCAGAGAGCGCAGAGAAGAATCCGCGCGATGGGGGGGTGGGCGGGCTTCCATCTGGATTGACGGCCGGGGGAACTATTCCGAGTGCAAGAAGCGGGAGAATGACACCGGAAGTAGCCAATCTGCTGGCGTTACTGCGGCAGGGGGGAGCCAGACTGGTCGGAGAGCTGCTGGTGTTGGCTGCAGGTGGGTGCGCGCTGTTCGGAGGGAGCGCTAAGGGAGGGGGGACGGACGACACTAACTCTTCGCCGGTTACGGAGAGGCAGTGGCGCGGGAGACCGCCGCGTCCCGTGGCCGGGCCCCGCGGTCGCGCTGAGAGAGGAGGGGAAGCCCCTTTGCACCATCCTTCCTGTCCTGTCAGAATTAGTCCTCCCTTAGAATTAAGGGAGCCGCCGCAGGGCGCATGCGCGGCGCCCCTGGGCATGCTCAGTAGTGGCGCTGACGCCGCGGGCCGCCCTCCGGCGGGCGGGGCGAGGGTCAGGGGCGGTGGCAGCCGCTGTCCCCGAGGTTGGGCCTGCGGGGACGGGCCGAAACCGGCACCGGGAGCAGCGGGGGGCCCGGGCGGTAGTGAGCTGATGAGGTTGGGGGTGGCGGATAACCCCCACCGTGGCAACATGAGCGTAATTTCACCGTAGCTTCTCGCTGCTCCCGGCTTTGAACCCCCACCGTGGCAACATGAGCGTAATTTCACCGTAGCTTCTCGCTGCTCCCGGCTTTGTGACAGGGCCGCGTTGGTGCCGGCGGGGGTAGCGGCACCGTTATCGGTTAACGGCAGGCGATTCCCCCGCGGCCTCTGGCCCCAGCGTTGCCGTTAGCACATCCACGCGCCCGAAGAGCCGTGCGGGCCGCTGGCAGAGCTGGCGGGTGCCGGGGGGCGGCCCCTCCCCTGTCCCTTCCCGGGGCTCGCGGCTTGTGTTGCCTGGGAAAGAGGAGGCAATTGTTCACACACCCGGGTTTGATTCTGGCTTCTAAAGAGAATGTCCAAACAAAAGCCTTTTATATCCCGTGCTCTTTGTTGTGCTAAGAACTGTAGTGGTTGTTAGGACTGGAGTCCCGTGTGCCCGCAATTACAGGCCATCTGTAAAGCATCAAAAGGTAATAATTTTGTTTCCCCTGTCGTTTTGAAGCTGGGCCATGGCTAAAAATTTAGGGTCTCTTTAAAAACCTATGACCCTCCTTTCTGTTGCTTACCTTTAGAAATATTTATGCTTTAACTTTGCTATATTGACCACAAATGATGCAATGATAATTGAAAACTACATTATTTCAGGTATTTCTTAGAATCTTTGTTGTTGCTTAGCATTCACAGCTCCCTGTTAATGTGAAAAAGTGCTGTTTCTACACAGGCCAGAGGTCTTTTTGCCTAAAATAAGTCTCAGTTATAACTGCGTGTAGGTTGGTCTTTGCAATATATTTTAAACACGGAAGTAACATTAGGGGAAAAAAAAATACGTTTCAGCTAGGAATCAGTAGTGTAATTCACTTATTTTTAAATAAGATTCCCATTTTTTCTTCATTGATTAGTCAAGCCAAGGATGTCATATGTGCTCTTTTATGTATTATCCAGAGACAGACAAAGTTAACTGACAGCAGAGGATGATTTAGCACAGTCAAGTCCCCAGGAAAATACTATTCACCTATATCAAATTGTCGCTGAGATTTATGTTTCAAGCATTGTATTCTGCACACTTTGAAGAGGTAATTGTGGCTATATTTACTGTTATGTGAAAATACTAATGGAATGTGGATCTTGCCTGGTTCCAAAAAACCCCTCAGGTTTGATTGATAGATTTGCCTTGTCCATGCTTTCTTAGAGAGATGTAAACATGTAGCAGTTTTTTTCACTATAGGATTTATTGATTTTTTTTTTTTTAATAAGCATCGTGTAAGTGCAAACTGAGGTTCAAGATGCAGTGTATAGTATGTAATATAATTATTAATAGATTTGGTGTAAACCCACATTTACATTATTCTATAATTATGCTCAATATTGCATGTATGTTTTGAAAAAAACACATTTTAATCACATACAGAAGTGACAGACTACAGAACCCAGTAAAAGGAGTAATTTCCTCTTCCAGAATTTGCAGTTACTATTTTTGCCAGAATTGGAAGTACAGCATGGCATTTTAATTCCAATTTTTTTTTTTCTGAAAATAAAAATTACAGTTATTGAACTTTTTTTTCGCTAAGGAAATAACTTTCAAGGGAACTTGATGAATTTGAGAAATTTAGCTTTAAGATAAAAATCTAATCAGTTTGATTTCTTCTAAGTGATGATTTGCTTTATCTTATTGAATTCATGTTTTTTTGAGAGGCTATGCAATTAAAGATCGCTGCTTGCAGAGAGGGAATCTTCCACTTTTGGAACACCTCCAGGAATCAGTGCAATTTCGCTGCTTCCTACTGGTACCATGTTGGTTTTTTTCCATGCTGTTTTTTTTTTTTTTTTTTTCAATCACTTCTGAAGAACCCAAAGCTTTAAAGTCTCTGTGTAACTTTTCCTTATTAGAATACATGTCTCAACATGTATTATAGATAAATGCCACTTCTGTGGATTAAATGTCTCAGAATGTCACATGCATTTTTTTTGATTGTGAAAAATGATTGACTGAATATTAGTTTTCTTTGAAGTTCAGCTATTTATGGAAAAGCTGTGAGACTCAGTTGCATTGAAATTTCCAGACAGGAACCTGAAATTCTGTTACTGTCTGTTTTCAATCTTAGTCAATGACAGTCAAAACAATAACGCAATATAAAAGTACAGTACTTTGTACTTAGTATTTATAATTTAATTACATTTCAATCCACTCCTGTATTTTTAGTCAGCAATTAGAAGTGACACCAAATCCTTTAGATACCTGTTCCACTCATATTCATCTTGCTGAACATTAAAGTAGGTACTGTTAAATTGGATGTGTAGTGGTGAATGGTGTCTTTAAAAATAATTAAAAAATTAATTATTTGTCCTAGTCTGCATAGATAAAGAGTGAAAATACCAAATAATCTTAATGGCTATGTGGTAGACTTAGTAATATAATAGTTACATTTAATATTAGATTTTAAAATGCTGACCTTGACTTTTTCAAAACTTACATTAATTATACAGTTAAACTTTGTATGAGAAAAAAAATCTAACACTTCTCTAAGGGAATGTATACAATTTCTTTATCTTTGTTGGTCTCTACTTTACATACCTAGGAAGAAATAATTATGTTGCAAAATATCAGCATTTAAGATTTTTTAAAAATCCTGATACCTAGTAAGACATACTATCCAATCTGGGAGAAAGCTAAGTGACAAAGGTAATGTTCTCTTGAAGAACAATTTATTTCTCATAAGATACCTGCTAAGATGTATTAAGAATTAGTATTTTTTTTTTTTTTAGTTGGTGAGAGAATGCTGTAGCACAGCTATATTGTGCTTTGAGATAAAGCAGATAGTTTTACAATTGTTTAGTAAAGTACCAAATAAAGGTTGAGTTTAGACTGGTTTTGCCAGCTGTGTTGCTAGAAGAGAGAACACCTACACACAGCATGTTATCTATACTGTCTGAATGCTTACATGTCTCAGGTAAGCTTGGTGTCCATTGCGCTGGGAACAGTCTCGGGCTTCGGTCCCATTACAAAGGTTCAGTCATGTTTACTGTAAGGCTGGCATGGCCCTAATGTGCATTTTCTGACAAAGTGCTAATTTATGTACACACAATACTTATGTATGCTTATACTTTCACAAAACAACATTCCCTAGGCTATTACAAAGTCACATAGATTTGTATATATATTTTTATTTTACTGTTACAAGGTGATCAAAACAATTTGGTGTAAGTCTTCTCCCGTGTCATTCTGTACCCTGTTTCCTCATCTGAGTGTTTGTGCTCCATTCTTATTACATAGGACCTTGCATTCCCTTGTTTAATAAATCTTCCTCTGTTAGTCACTTAGAATTAATTGCACATTTTAAATCATTCTCAACTTTATTAGCACATTTAAACTTCTGTAACCATTTTTATCCATCAGTCACAGTACCTAAGGCGATTTTGACTGTTGGTTTAGCGAAATCTTTTCAGCAAAAGTGTTTATGAATATAGGTACTTTGTATAAGTATGTTCTGATTGATGCTTGGTGAGAACTACAGTAGACCCTGCACAAACGAAAGTTCATCTCTGCTCAAAGTTCACTTTGCAGTTCTGTTTGCTTTGCTATTTCAAATGTAGTGGAATGGATATGAACACCATTTCTATGAGGCATATTGCAGTGGTTATGATATAAGTGTATGCCTGTTGAGATATTCTGAAGATGGCTATCCTGGATGCTTTTGGAATCCTATATAAGTTTAACAATGTGCTGTGTTTACAGTCTTTTAGTGTAATATCTAGGATTCTTATTCAGGTTATGAAATTGATGTTCAAAAGGGCAATTGGACTTTCTGAAGGATAAGTATAAACAAATAAATTACACATTTCAACTTCTTCCACATACAGAATTTTAAGTACATCTAAGAAGGATTGTTGATGGTGCCAATTAAAATCTTTGTAAATATGCTATGCCTTATAACTATGTTTGGAAAGGGAACTTTAGCATTGGTGAAGTAAAAGAATTCATATAGAAATTCAGTGATTGTTTTTGGTAGCTGTTTGCTTGGTATACAGGTACTGAGGTCAGTTAGACATTTTCTTGTCGCTTTTTACCAATAGATTAGATACTGCTAATAGGAATGGGTGTATAGTTTAGATTTTGCCTATGGGCTTATCAGACTTCTCAGTGTGGTTATCTGACATCTGGGTCAACGAGCTTCTTATGTTCTAGGCTGCTCCATTCCTTACTGTCTTGGGAAAAGGACAGTGTTAAAACGGA